TCTTCACCCTATATGCCGTTTTCGCCATTTTTTGCCACACAAACGGAGGAACCCACAATGGACTCTGCAATCAAAGAGCTGGATACTGAGGGGCTTATTCAGTTTTTAAAGAAAAAAAACTTAGAGTTAAAGGATTCAAGCTATGAAATTTTAAAAAAACAAGAAATTCCTGGATCTGTCTTCTCTGATTTTACAGAAGATGAATTTCGTAGCATGGGTCTACCATTTGGGCCTGCGAAGATTTTGGCAGATTTTACCAAAAAAATAAGAACACAAAAATTGAAAACGTATTCATCGTATAAAACAGGAAAAGACTTTAAAGATGTTTTAAAAGAATTCGGAATCGTTGGGACTAGCATAGGAGACATACCACAGTTTACGCCTGGTAAGGTGTTTTCTAAGTAAACCAAACTATTGTACATTGAGCGGTATTATTGCAAGGGTGGAAATACTTACCGCTTTTTTAACAGAACTATATAAAATTAGTGAATTAATGTTCATAAAAAATAAACAACATAAAATAAAAAATACAAATAAATAAATTTTTGGGGGTTTACATAAAATATAAACGGTATCTTTATTGGTAGTAAAGCCTTAACATGTGTAATAAAAAACTTTATTGATATAAATAAAAATATGTGATATTAATAAATATAATAAAAACTAGAATACGGGTAATAGGATTTATTTGATATTCTTGAATTACTTCTCCAACAATTTGCGACGTTTCGAAACACATTCTATGTAACTGTATTATGATATGATGCTGTAAGCATCAGTCCACCCTACTATGCAAATACGGTTTCAACTGCTTCGGCAAATCCTAAAATTATTTCTTCAGCTGGGGTAGAATACCTATTTCCATCATTTTTTAAACGACGAATACTTAAAACAGAACCAATTTCTTCTCGAATCCATAGAGGTATAAAAACCCGTGATTAACAATATTATTCACACTGTGGTATTATTATTAGTAATTAAACAATGCTATTGGTTCTGTTGCAAAATATATTATACGGCCCTCATTTTTTACGATCA